CAATAGTTGCAGTCGCATTCTTTTTGCTTGTTTCTCGCTCAGGCTTCGCTCCGAAAAATATTTCTTCGCTCCTTCCCCAAAGAATGAAGAAACTCTTCTCTACATGGAGAATCCAACGACGTTCTAAGCTTCGGCCTCCACTCCTTCCCCAAAGTGTGAAGAAGCTCTTATTGTTCAAGGAGAATGGCTAAACCCCAAGCAAAAGCTCCTCCTTTTCTCTATTTCTCCGGCGAAACAATGGTCATAGAAGAAAACAAGGAAGAGGAAGAAGAAGATGGAGAAAAGGAAGAAGAAAATGTAGGAAGGAGAAGAATAGAAGGGAAGAGGATCTCCCAAACTCCTCAAGCTGCTCTCAAAAAATTCTCCCCCGCTCTGTTGGATCGCCCCCAACAAATGAATCTCAATCCTCTTGCTAAAAATCCCTCAGGGCTTGTTATCCAATGGCTTAAGACAGTGGAATGACCACTTGCCTCATCAGGAAGGGTCCCGGGTGAGTTCAGATGCCATATTTGGCTTCCAAGCGATCCATGGAGGTTTATCCGGTGGACAGACAACATCGTCGGCTGACATCTGGGGACTGCCGTGCGAAAATCGCGAAACAGGATTAGACGGCATGACCACGCTGAAATCAGGCATGGTCACACCACTTCTGAAAATGTTGCATATGAGGGTTTGATGTGGTCACGGTAGGAACCCGATGTAATTATGTCGGGCTCCATCCCGCGTCGTGGTCACGCAACCCTTGGGCTTGTTCACGTCGGGGGTGGAGAACGTTGCAACCTAGGACTCTTGGGGCGTGACTACGCCCGCCGTGACTCCGCCCGCTTCGGGCGTGGTCACCCTAACGGTGAGGCGCAACCACGCCTAACCCAGGCGTGGTCACGCCGGATCCTTGCATTTAAAGTGTCGGTCAGAGCGGTTTTACACCTTGTTCGGACCTTGGGATGCTTCAAAAGGATGAATATGTTCTTTAAATACTAAAATGAGCATTAAACACATCCCAAGTTAAAATTATCATCAGTCAATAGTGAGCTTTTCTGGGCTGAATCGATATCGGTTCTGATCCCGTAGTCGAGGCACGCGCCAGGAGGTTCGAATTGGTGCCTTGGACTACTGGAAACTGAAAACAATCCATAATGTTCAAGTGGACACCTCACACATGGGACATTAAAAGTGATGCCAATTGTTAGATCACTTGTGGGCTTGATAGGATGAGCTTTAAGGAAAGTTTTCTCGTTGAAGTATATCTTTAGGATGTTAACATGTGTTTGGATTAGCTATGGTTGTTATATTTTGATCTATGAAAAAGTTTATTTGTGTGTGTGTTTGTGTGTGATACTGGATGCAAGTTTGCTGATATTGTTACTTTTTTAACAGGTTTAACTATCTTAGTTTTATTATACAAAATAACATGAGTAAATGAAGACATAAAAATAGATGCTGTACGTGAGTTCTATACTTGAGTTGCCTTAAAAACTGATTATATTTCACTTGTTTAATGAGCTTGATGTTTTGTGGGTGAAAGATAATTTTATATGGTTTGGTTTACGGTTGAACACAAATCTTGTTTCTTACAGTTTTGGTAAATTTTTTTATCTTTGCCAGGAAATTTGTCTATAGATGTAATTTTATTATTCAAACAATTGATGAAAGAGTAATCTTCTTATGTTCTTAATGGGTCTTGAGAAGAGTATCAATTTAGATGATAATTGATTTGGTGCTTAACAACAACAAGTTTTTATCCCACTAAGTGGGGTCAGCTACATGAATCCTTTTCTCCTGTGTCCTATTGCGTATCATATTTTCATTTAATTCTAATTAATTAAGATATTTTTTTTAAAGAACATGCCTAATCTTTTTAGTTCTCCCTCTAACTTTCTTAACATGAGTCTAATTTAAACATCTTCTCTCCTAGCCGAATTATTCAATGGTCGACGTTTAATGTGACCAAACCATCTAAGACGACTCTCTAGTTTTATCTGCCGCTAGAGCTACAACCCTTTCACAAATACATTCATTTCACATTGTCTTTAAGTGTCAAGCCACCAATCCACCTAAGCATTCTCATCTCAACAACACTTAGTTTTATGCTTTTGGCCAACATTTTGCTCCATAAAGCATTGTAGGTCTCACTGCCGTCTTATAAAATTATTCTTTTAAGTCTAAGTGGTACTTTCTATCACACAATAGGCCTAATGCATTCCTCTACTTCAACCATCCAACTTGAAGTCAACTAATAATATGTCTATCTATATCACCCTCGCTTTGAACAATTGACTCAAGATATCTAATACATTCACTCTTTTTAATGATTTGATCACCTATTGTAAAACTTTGCCTCTTGATTTACTACTACTTTCATGTACTTAGTTTTAGATCTGCTCAAACGAAGGCCTTTAGACTTTAATGTAGGCCTCTATAATTCAAGTTTTTCCCGAGCTATTTCTCATCCACAAGAAGGATATCATCAGCGAAAAACATACACCAAGATGCATCCTAAAACTTGAATTATAACTTTAATCATAAAACATATTGGAGTTTTTAAAAAATGTATGATGGATCATTGATTAAAATTAGACGTAGTTTTGGCGTAATCGAAGAATTCCTAAATATATTAAGATTATGTAACGAATGAGTATGGTGGTTATATATTTTTTGTATTAGTTTTCCTAATAAAAAGTCTTTAAAGTAAGGTATCTTAGTCTATTTCAAATCAATGAGACCTTTGATGGCAATAATGGAAATTTATAACTATGGATAAATATGTTTTACAATTGATAATTTTGTTTCCAATCATTTTGAGTGTGAATAAAATTCTTACCTTTGATGGATTTTGAAGTTATTTCTAGAGTTGAAAATTGATATTGATTTTTAACTACATCTTACTAAATGTTGACATCTATTAAGTGTATTGTTTTTTAATGTGTTTTTCCTTATCTTGAGCGGCAAAATGATCCCTTGGAAGATGAATTACTTGGGGCTTGTTTGGGATCACTTTTGTTTTTTATTTTTTGCTTTTTGTTTTTGCTGTTGCTTTTATTTTAAAAATACGTTTGTTTTGTGCATTTTTTACATTTTTATTTAAAAAATAAAAATAAATTTGCTTGTTTTTAAAAATACATAAAACCTGTAAAAGTTGTTTTGAGTGTTTTGAAACCAACTAAACATGTCATACAATACCAAACATGTTTTATTTTAAATTAAAACATAAACAAAATAAAATAAAAATCATAAAATAAAAAGGAGAAATCATAAGTGATTGCAAATAGCCCCTCAAGGTTTTTAGAACAAAGATTGAATATTAAATTCTTTTTAGTGGGTGAATTAATAATAATAATATGTATAAGCTGATGTTAATGCTAAATTAAGTGATATGTTGGCGACGTAACTGTTGATTTATTTTTCAAAAGTATAGGAATATAATTCTTAGAGTTAAGGTTGGGTGATTTAAATAACGAAGCGTCTAAAGAGTAATACATGATAGTATAGTAGAATCTCATGGAGAGTAAAAATTAATTTTTATAAATTTACAACTAGGCTAATTATGCTATATGGATATGAGTGTTGGGATGTAAATAATCATTGATAGCCAAGTTAAGCTTAACAAAAATTTTAAAGCTGAGAAAAATGTGTGAGAAATTTTAGAATGATAGATTGATAAATGATTATATTATTAGGATGATTAGAGTAGCATCTATTATAGACAAGGCAGTTAAAAGTAAAGTTTGATTTTGTGGGCTTGAAATTAGGTGGTCTGGGCTTGCACATTCAAGCGGAGAAAATGCACTGAGAAACAATTTGACAAAATTAATTGCTAAAAATTATTAATAAAATGAGTAAACTTCAGGTAACATGTATAAAATTTGTGCAATAATGGTTGTTCACGAGCCAGATTTCACTCTTAATGTGCCGTCAGTAGGAACAAGTGAAAATTGAAGTTTCAAATATCCCATTTCTGAATAATTGGGATAATCTTAATGATGTATATAATGCTGATTTCATACTTGACATTATCTCAAGTTAAATGGCTCTAGTTGCTGAGGTGAGATCTAAGGCTTTTTTCTGACTCTGGTATACTCTTAAAAGAAGTGTTGTGATGTATATTCTAATATCCTTCATGCAGGTTTGGTTACTCCAATTGGGGAAATTACTTGATAATAGTTTAATTGTATTTTCTTATCTCTACTGCCCTTTCTAGATGATTGCTTATGGTGTGTTTGTCTTTTATTTTTTATCTTTTCTATCAAATCACATTCAACTGTTTAAAATTTCCACTGGAAATTTTTTCATCAGGATATCCTGGCCTAATATTGTTTAGTATGGATTTCGAAGCACTTGAATTTACTTTCTGATCAGTATAATAAATGGGTAATCAAACAAAAGTTATATTACACTTCTCAAAACAGAGATCTAACGACTTTGAAACATAACCTGAACAAATTGTTTTGCAGAATATCGTGTTTCATTTTTTTTTCCCCAGTCTCCATTCTTGCTTTTGACGGCAAATGGAGGTAGTGTGGGAGGGGGTGCTATATTTAGTGCCTCAGATGTTTTTTAAGAATGAATTTGTATGCTTCTGGTTTCCTTCCATCTAAAATTCTATCATGTGTGTGAATTTCATTGCAAAGTTTAGTCTTGTTTTCCCCGTCAGGCATTCCTTCGAACCCTTATTCTCTGCTTTTCTAAAATTAGACTATACTATCACAAACTGTAATAGGGTTATACCTTCCTGATTTGGCTTGAATTTTTCTCTAGATTGCTATCTTTAGAATAAGCTTATTTATTTTAGTCTAATTCGTGCACGTCTCTGGCAGCACAGACAGACTAGAAAATATCTTCTTAAATCCAGTTTATCAAGCTTAGAATTGTTAAGTATTCATCGTTTCTTTTCACATAGAATGGTTGATTGAATTTTTATTATGAAATTGTACTCCAATAGTTATAATTCTATTGTTTTTGTGTACTGCTTTTTGAGTCAAACTTCCTATTTTGTTGATTAGGACTATAACAGCAAGTTTTCAGCTCAACTTAAAAAGGAGAAGCTCTGTTTCATTTTCACATGGTTTCATTTTCGAAACTTCCTGCTGTAAATGTAGAAGTGATTCAGAGAACTATGGAGATTAATTTTGTTATTTGGAGATTTGGGAAGTTGAAATAATGAGAACCTGCAGCCCCTCAAGATAGTGGTACTCCACATATCAGAAATACAAATTGTTCATTTCTTTATAGCTTAGCAGGTGTGTAATATCTCAAATGTTTTTGTTTTGTTTTACTCTTCTTTTCAACGTTCCAATTCATCAAACAAAGACCACTGCCACTTCTTCATTTGATCAATTCTATTAATAAGCAAAATTTCAGTTGTCATAAACCCCCTTTAATGGCATAGAAATTGATGCATATGGCCTATATGTTTTTTTTTTAATATTGAGATTTCTTTCCTTTTGATAAGTGAAGTGATGGCCTAAACATTATGGATATATCCTGATTTATTAATGGTTAATTGATTCGATTATCTCTTTATTTTATTAATTGATGGCAATGTCACTGAATTAAGTGATAGGCAGCCTTTCTGCTTTGGTTGGCCGCTGAGATTCTATCAACTTTCATTTTGTGCCTTTCCTGTTCTTGGAGTTATTATAATAATAACAATAATTATTATTATTTGTTCAACTGTCTTGTATTTCTATATTTACATTACTATATTATGTCTATAATCTCTTTATAAAGCATGCCATGTTAGATAATTTTATGCAGTCTGATTTTAGATAACCAATGGCTGAGATTTAAATTTGCATCCTTGGTGCATCATTCAATAATGTTGTGTTATTAGATGCATGATTTGAGTTTTGATGTTTCAATCTAGCGTGGAAGGGCATATGCTTTAGTTGTTGAAGAAGAATGTAATTTCATTAAAATCCGGGTTACAGTCATATATTTATGATTCAGCTATCATGTAAAAATTGTTTTACTTGTAGACCTTAAGTCATACCAGCACGCTTGCTAGGACTAGTTAGAGCAAGAATAAGAACAATTATGGCAAATCTCCTACTCAGAAGAAGGGAAAAGGGATCGAGATTGCTGAGAAGAAAAAGTGGATCCAAAAAGTTTGTAACATTTTTAGTCATGCATCCTATATCCTTTTCAAGGAACCATTATTATGGTCATTGTTATATCTTAGGAGATAATAAAATGAATTACTCGGAACTATTTCGAAGCAGTTTTTGAAGAAGTTCATGATGTGAAATGGAAGGCGATGGAAATCACTGTCAAGCCGAATCAGGTTTTGGAGTTGATAAATTGCATGAACTCGAGTCTTTCCTTGATGCTAAAGGGGTAATAGCCAAAATTGGTGACACTTGACCTATGTGAAGGTGAACATGAGGTACTATTTATCTTGCTTATCTAAGTCAAGGACGAGGTTGTCAATGCCATTTACAAGTTAATGAGAAAATATTTGGTCATGATAAGTGTAGTTAACTTGTAATCATTTTAAATCACACGAGCAAACATCATTGTGATGTGCGAAGTTATGCCTCTTGATTTTGTTCTTGATTTTGTTCTAGATCAGGGATCAACTTTAAGCTCATATCTTTTTGCTTTAGTTATGGATATTCTTACTGGACATTTACAAGATGATGCACCTTGATGTATGTTTTTTTGCTGATGATATCCTTCTTGTCGATAAGACTAGAGAGAGAGTTTAGAAAAAAAATTGAATTATGGAGGTCAACTTTATCCTTCTTGTGGATAAGACTAGAGAGAGAGTTTAGAAAAAAAATTGAATTATGGAGGTCAACTTTATCCTTCTTGTGGATAAGACTAGAGAGAGAGTTTAGAAAAAAAATTGAATTATGGAGGTCAACTTTAAGTGTAAAGGTTTTTGTTTGAGTATATCTAAAAATGAATTCATGGATGTAATTTTAGCGGTCGTAGATCTAGTGGCGGGTTTGTAACAATGGGTGATTAAGTCATTAAAAGGATTGACTGTTTTAGATATATCAATTATATTGTTCAAAGTGAGATGTAGATGGGGATTCTATTTGTAGAGTTCGAGTTGGATGGTTGAAGGAATGCGTCGTACCTATTGTGTGATATAAAAGTACCACTTAGATTTTAAGAAAAATTTAATAAGAGGGTGGTGAGACCTGCAATGCTTTATGACAGAGAATATTGTTTTGTAAAAGAGAAACATAAAATTAAGTTTAAGTATTGCTGAGATGAGAATACTTAGGTGGATGAGTGGCTTTATACTTAAAGGCAAAATGTGAATATATGCGTAAAAGGGTTGGAGTAGCTCTAATGGTAGATAAGATTAGAGACAGACGTCTCAAATGATTTGATCATGTTAAATGTCGACTATTTGATGACCCAATTAGGAGGTAGATATTTTAGATTTGACTTGTATTATGAAAAATAGGGGCAGACCTAAAAAATCTTGGTCATGACATGTAAAAAATGATCTTAATTTATTAGAATTAAAAGAAAATATGACACTCAATAGGATATGATGGAGAAAAAAGATTCATGTAGCCAACCCCACTTAGTGGGATAAAGGCTTATTGTTGTTGTTGTTGGTTCAACAATAGTAAATTTATGAAGATCGAGTGAGATTCACTATTAACATGGATAATAATCATCAGCCTTTGTACTTGCTGGTGGGGATGGTGACGATAACAATGAATTTGGGCTAAAGTTTTATTTTATTGGTGATCTGACAAGAGAAACATGACAATAATATGAAAGCCTACTATCATGGAGAATCCAACAAAAACTGAGATAGAAAATAAAAACTATAGTATTTAAGAATGGGGAGCTGAGCCTTCAAATACCGCCAAATGGCTACCAATTGCCTTTTTAAAAATCAAGAGGGTTGTCTCCATAAAGAGTTAAGGTCACAAGATCATTTTGGTCTCAGATTCAACCATTCAAAACATCAAGATTTAATTACACTCGATATTGGAAGAGGGAAACAAACATGTTAGGGAGTTGCTAGACCAATAATTATGATCTCAAGCTATTCACCTTATGAAACTCTAATTGTAATGAAAATTATATTATTCACCTTATGAATAATAAACCAATACTATGGCTCAAGGTTGCTCATAGTTCCTTGAAGTCAATTTCAAGATCCTCTATGGTCAAAGAGTCCAAATCAATCAAGATATCTAGTTGCTAAGTCCACTAAAGATTGTGGTTTCACAGGGGAGATCATCTATGCATTCACAACCACATTTATGTCAAATGACTTAAATAAAATCTAACAATTCTTTAGCTTAGGTCAATATAGATTTGGAAGGCAAATACATTATGTTAAGCTAGGCTATGGTTCAATTAGGTCTCATTAGGTTCATAAGGTCTAGAAGGGCAATGGCTAGATAGGCCTGCTTGCTTTAGATTAATTATTCAGTTAATATATAACTAAGTTATGTACATCCAGGATGATCCAAAGGTCAGTAAATGGCTACTCATAGTCGGTTGAGTCCTTGCTTAAACTGCTAAGGCAATACAGACTTTCCAATGGCTATGTAATATTATGTTCTAATGCTTGAGATTATGTTCTAATGCTTTTGAGGGTCAAAAGGTGTTAGGAAAACTCATAATGCTTTCTAAGGGTCACATTGTGCTAAGCAAGGGTCCTTTAGGCTTGGGTTCGACCTATAATATTTAATAGTAGGTTTATAGCCAACCTACTCCAAGGTGGTGGTCAACGTAATGGTCCAAGGATAAGTGGTGCATTTAATTTTCTTAGAAAATAGATTATGTAATTGGCTCTTAAGATAAAAGATATAGGTCCTTAAGAGCTTAACAAATATCTAGGCGAATCATTGGTCATAAAGAAATGAAAAAAAATAGTGATTTTCAATCAATGTAAATTAGCCATGGCAATTTGATATTAAACAAAATAATAATTAAATATAATTTGGTTCTATAATACACTTCAGAAAGATAATGGTAAATAATAGATTGCCAATAAGATTGATAGGGTGACCTTTATGAAATATTTGTTTTCATTGAAATGATTTCTTAATGACATATTTAGTTATTTTGTTGTACCTTGACATGATTAATATACGAAGCTTTAAAAATTGAATGATAATTTTCAAGAATACTTGGAGGATGCTCAAGTAAAAGGATATACTTTCTATGAGAAATTGATTTTGCATTTTGAGGATGGTGATTTGGTGAAAGGAAACCGATTTTCTATTTTGAGAATGGTGATTAGGTGAAATGATTTTGAGAAGAACACACCTTTAAATTATGCAAGCATTTTAAAGTGAATATTATACTAAAAATTCTATACAGTTACATATATATAAGCCAAGAATATGCTTGAATGTGTACAAATTCTCAAAAGAATGTTTTCTGCTTCATCACAAAGCCTGTAAATATGATGAAATTTAGGATAATGTACTCTTCATCTTGTGTTGGCATGGTTATGGAAAAAGTTCTTCATAGAATGTTTTTCGACTGAAAACATTAGTGATTATGATTTTGTTATTGTGCATGTGTTAAAAGAGGATCGAGTCGTTGAGAGGATATTGAGCTAAGAGTGTTACTGCTAGGAGGGTTTTAAACCTAGAAAAGATCTCGAAAGGTATGCTATAATTCCAAAGAATTACATGTCAACTGCCGAGAAGTTAAAGATTCGAGAGCTAGAAAGCCCAAGATGGTTTAATTGTATAATAATGATGAAAGATTGTTATATCATGTCTTTGATTAAGAATTTAATAATGGACGTCAAACCTCGTAACTTTTTGATCTTGAAGTCATGAATTTTTATAATAAAAATTAGATTATTGCAGCGTTGAAGTAAATGTAGCCCATGTTATAAACAAGTGATGTTATCTCTATAATTATAAAAACCTCTTATTTATGCACGAAAGTCGAGCCAACTTTGGATTCATGAAGCTTGTTGACTACATAATAATGATAACAGATTGATATACTGAGTCTTTGATTAAGAAGTTCATAATGGGTGTCAAAATCTCCTAACTTACTCGTTTAGTAGTCATGAGTTTTTTTTTTTTTTAAATTAGATTATGTGCCAAACTGAAGTAAAATGTAGCCCATGCCATAAACATTATATTGATGTACGGAGTCTTTGATTAAGAAGTTCATAATGGGCGTCAAAACCTTCTAACTTTCTTGTTTAATAGTCTTGAATTTTTTTAAAAAAAATTAGATTATGTGCCAAATTGAAGTAAAATGTAGCCCACGCTATAAACAATTCCTGTTATCTCTGTAAAGTGTTGTCAATGGGACAATGACAATAGAGTTATGACAACCTTCTTCTTTATGAGTGTTAAGAGCTGCCTTGAGTCAGAGGACTTAAGAAAAAGCATGGAGTTAGAAAGCTAGAGTCAGGGATTTTGAATTGACATATTTTAGGACAATCAGA